AACGCGTCGATTTTCCTCGAATTGGCGAGTCACCGCCGAAAATGGACGACGCTCGAAGAAACGATGTTTCCAATTTTATTCCCGACAACGAACGACGCGAAGATGAACGCGTCGGGCAACTCGACGCTTGGAAACCGAACCGATTCGCTCATTTTTTACGAGGCTCGCGTTCGGAATTTAGTTTCCCGAAAACGTATTACTCGTTTCAAGAAATTCGTTCGTAGCCTGGACTACGGACAGAAAAAGTCCAAGGTTTTTCCAGAGGCGTCGAGAAGGACCGGAAACTGGTCGGCAAAGATTTCGACGAAATTCAAAGACCAGCGGCTCGCGCGAGGAACGGTAACGATCGTTTTCTTCCTCCGATTCGCTCGCGGCTCGGACACCTTCGAGTCTCGAGGATCGAGGAGACGACGCAGCCGGTTGCAGCCTGTAAACTAAACTGTAAGGCGAGGCGTACGTCATCGCTCGGTTTACATAGCCGCGACATCACCGAGAGCGAGACCGAAGCGACGCAGGGACCGGTTCTTCGAAGGCTCGAAGGTGTACCCCTCGATCCTCGCCGCGCCTCGCCTCGCCGCGCCTTCGTCGGAGAATCGGAGCTCGTTCGTTTCGTATTCCGGCTCGATCGCGAGCCGCGAGATCCACGTTTCCGAAGGCTCGCGGAGAACGCCTTGCCGCGAATAACCCTGTTACCATTGGACGGTTTCTCCCAAATTCGCGCATTTCGCGATAGTCGAGCTCGCTCGACGTCCTCCGACCGAAGAACGACGCGTTCCATCCGTCGACGATTCTTCGGATCGATTCGCGAAGGGCTCCCCTTTGTTCGCTCGCGTGCGAGAACAGCCGCGAGGAAAGTTTAAATCGACACCGTCCGAGCACCGCGATCTCCGTTCTCTCCTGCTCGAGGAAGTAGCAGCAGCAGGAGAGAGAGAGAGAAAGAGAGAGAGAGAGAGAGAGAGAGAAAGGGAGAGGGAGAAAGAGAAAGCGAGATCGACCGAAAGGACGCAGTCGGCGGGTCTCGCTCTCGACGTCGAATCGCTAAAGTCTCGCGCGGGGGCGAAAATTGCATCGGACGTGGGCGACGCGCGGTACGCGGGCTCGTCGCCGACGCGATCGCGGCGAAAAGCGAGGGAGACGAACCCGGTACCGCGGCGGAGAGCGCTCTCGAGCCCGAAAGAGAAACCCGGAGCGTCGAGTACTTTGCGAGAGCGGAACGAGCCGCGTAAAAATAGAGAGCCGCGCGTTTGCGAGCCGCGTTCGCCGCGGAAGAGACGAGCGTCGCGTGCCGTAAGGTGCAAACGTTTCGGCAGGGGTAGCTCGTAACCGCGATCCGATGCCGGACGGAACGTATTTTTCGCCCGTCGACGGCCGATCCGAAGTCTCGGACCGTCGATCTTCGAACCGCTGCCGTTTCGCGAGGACGAACCGTAGGAGAGCTTTCTAGAGCTCGTTTCGAAGCGCGAAACCTCTGCTTTTATACCATCGAAAAACCCCCGAACGATCGACGAACGATCTTTTCTCCGAGTTTCTCGTCGCCCTCCGAACGAAATTCCTCCCGTCGGCGATACGATAAATTTCAGTCGCGACAACTCGTTCCAACCCTCCTCGACACGGAAGTCGGCCGAGTAGGATCGTTATAAATTGGGAGCGCTACAGGTGGAGCGGCGCGTCGTTGGGTTATGCCGAGAGGAGGTACGCGACGGGTGTCTGGCAGCGTTACGCGATATCTCGAACGAATCCACGATCGACGACGCGCGCTCTCGTCTCCGGCGCTCGAGTCGGGTCTCGAATCGTCCCGAGTTTCGAGTGGGTCCGAAGTCGAGCGCGAGACCGCGAAAACGAAAACGAAAACGAAAAGGAGAAATAAAAGAAAAAGGCGAACGAGTCGCGAGATAGGAGAACGCGTGCTAGATACGTTCGGCGAGCGATCGCGAGCATCGGGAGAGCCGGTTATACAATACTGTTGACACGGTGTTTGTACCGTGTACTCTGCCGACGCGCGACGGTGTCGAGCGTGTTGCGCGTTGCGCGTTGCGTGTCGCTCGTCGCGTGTCGCTCGTCGCGTGCACCGGCCGACCGTGCCAGCGAGACGCGTTCCGCGGGCATCGATGGATCGGTGGATCGACGGATCGACGGATCGACGAATCGAGGTCGCCGNAGGGAGAAAGAGAAAGCGAGATCGACCGAAAGGACGCAGTCGGCGGGTCTCGCTCTCGACGTCGAATCGCTAAAGTCTCGCGCGGGGGCGAAAATTGCATCGGACGTGGGCGACGCGCGGTACGCGGGCTCGTCGCCGACGCGATCGCGGCGAAAAGCGAGGGAGACGAACCCGGTACCGCGGCGGAGAGCGCTCTCGAGCCCGAAAGAGAAACCCGGAGCGTCGAGTACTTTGCGAGAGCGGAACGAGCCGCGTAAAAATAGAGAGCCGCGCGTTTGCGAGCCGCGTTCGCCGCGGAAGAGACGAGCGTCGCGTGCCGTAAGGTGCAAACGTTTCGGCAGGGGTAGCTCGTAACCGCGATCCGATGCCGGACGGAACGTATTTTTCGCCCGTCGACGGCCGATCCGAAGTCTCGGACCGTCGATCTTCGAACCGCTGCCGTTTCGCGAGGACGAACCGTAGGAGAGCTTTCTAGAGCTCGTTTCGAAGCGCGAAACCTCTGCTTTTATACCATCGAAAAACCCCCGAACGATCGACGAACGATCTTTTCTCCGAGTTTCTCGTCGCCCTCCGAACGAAATTCCTCCCGTCGGCGATACGATAAATTTCAGTCGCGACAACTCGTTCCAACCCTCCTCGACACGGAAGTCGGCCGAGTAGGATCGTTATAAATTGGGAGCGCTACAGGTGGAGCGGCGCGTCGTTGGGTTATGCCGAGAGGAGGTACGCGACGGGTGTCTGGCAGCGTTACGCGATATCTCGAACGAATCCACGATCGACGACGCGCGCTCTCGTCTCCGGCGCTCGAGTCGGGTCTCGAATCGTCCCGAGTTTCGAGTGGGTCCGAAGTCGAGCGCGAGACCGCGAAAACGAAAACGAAAACGAAAAGGAGAAATAAAAGAAAAAGGCGAACGAGTCGCGAGATAGGAGAACGCGTGCTAGATACGTTCGGCGAGCGATCGCGAGCATCGGGAGAGCCGGTTATACAATACTGTTGACACGGTGTTTGTACCGTGTACTCTGCCGACGCGCGACGGTGTCGAGCGTGTTGCGCGTTGCGCGTTGCGTGTCGCTCGTCGCGTGTCGCTCGTCGCGTGCACCGGCCGACCGTGCCAGCGAGACGCGTTCCGCGGGCATCGATGGATCGGTGGATCGACGGATCGACGGATCGACGAATCGAGGTCGCCGAGGACCTAGGAGTCCTCGACGCTGCCGACGCTATCGCGGGGTCGAAGCGTCCGGTTTCGCGCGATAAATTCGTCGATTCGAGCATACGTCGACGACGGAAATATCGAAAAGTCCGAATCGAATCTCGAGTCGCTGTCGCGGCTCGCGGAAGATTTTGGGACGTTCCATCAAAAATTAATGGAACGACGAAGCAGAATGCAGCGGTCGATCGAATTTCCGTGCGAGCTCCTCCGGCCGAACGATCGACGCGTCGCGATCTTCGCCGCGGGGTCGGCACGGGGTCGGCGCGGGTTGCCGCTCTCTCTCTCTCTCTCTCTCTCTCTCTCTCTCTCTCTCGGAGAAAGTCGTGTTAGTTTTATGCGCCTCGTTGTACGATGTCGGCGCCGAGAGCGCGCGAGTTCTCCTCGTTAATTGGCTCGCTCCTCGCGAACGGATCGTCTCGCGATCGCGCCTCGTACCGTTCGAGACGATTCGACGCGAGAGTAAAATCTAGTTTCTCGCTGCGTCCTTCCTCGCGAGAGCGCGCACCGATCCGTCGAAGACGTTCCGTCGGCGTGGAGCGCGCGAACACTCGGAGCAAGGTTGCATCGCGGACGCTTCGTCGACGAAGTCGATCGCGAATTTTGCTCGTCGATCGACGGTTGCTCGCTCCGCGAGCACGTTTCGACGTCTCGTTGGAACAGCTTTGTTTACAAACAATCGGTGCGCAAACATTTCCGAGACGGGAAGCGACGAGACAGAGTACCCGCGCCATCGTTCTCCCGAGCGTTCGAGCGCTCGGCCGCTTTTTCAACGAGACGCGCGCGTCGCGATCGAGCCTCGTCTCGAACGAATTTAAAAACGATAATTACGGACTTCTTCGACGAATCGTTCCGTCGAAAGGGCCAGCTTCTACCCACGCGCGCCGAGCACGATAAGACTGCGAGACTCGGGGGATCGTGCGCGCGGTCCGAGGCGGGTACGACGAGGGGACCGCGGGCACGGGATGTAACACGGTATGGTAACATCCCGCGTCCCACGCCGCGCAGCGCCGCGCCGAGCCGAACCGAACCGACTCGGCCGAGCCGTGCGACACGCGAGAGAGAAAAACGGAGAAAACGGAGAAGAGAGAGAGAGTGAGAGAAAAAACAAGAGAGAAAAAAGAGAAGAGAGAGAGAGAGAGGAGACAACGCGCGGGATCGGGATGGAAAGAGAGAAAAGTACAGCGCGCGAAGGAGGGAGAGGCCGGTAGGATCGGCGTTCTCCAGGCAAAAGAAGCGTGTGCGGTTCGTGTACAGGCGCGGAGCGTACGCCGTTGGCGTTGGCAATGGTAGCGACAGAGAGGAACGTAGCACGGCGGTGCGGTCACTAGGGCCAGCGAGCGATCGCCGATGCCACATCGACTCGCGGTACCGAACCGAGAGCATCGGTTCGACGGTAACACTTTTGCCATTGGTAACGCTTCGACGATTCGCGCGCTACGCCATCGCGATCGCTTTCCGCGGCCGGAACCTTCCGCGACGCGCACGAGCCTCGAACTCCGTCAGACTGAGAGACACTGTGAAACGCGGGACTGAAGCGATAGAAAGAGAACGAGAGAGAGAGAGAGAGAGAGAGAGAGAGAGAGACGGCGGAACAAGAAACGAATCACAGGTACGCACGCCGAGCTAGCGGCTCTCTTCGGGGACGCAGGGGAACGAGTTTGCAAACGGGGCCGGTCACGGCGCGGCCTCAGTCTGAGCCGGGAGATCGCCGCAGTTCACAGGACTACCGAAGCGCGTGTGACTCCAGTAACCGTTCCATCGAGTTTTCGTTCGTCGTCGCTCGCGTTTCGTTTACGTTTCCGATTCTGTTTCCGTTTCGGTCGCGTTTCGTTCTCGCGGGGTGTTCGTTTCGCATGAGAGTTCGCGACGAGCCTGCGAACGCGTCGGCATGACCGTACACAAGAAGACCGGAGGCTCCTCGAAGACGAGGAGCGGCAAAGGCAAGGAGACGGCCACCGTCGCGTCCGGCTCGTCGGGCGCGACCACGACGGAGACCGTCGAGGTGGTGTCGTCGACGAGCGTCGTCGAGGAGGCGACGCGGGTCGTCGAGAGCGAGTCGAGGAGCAGCGTGACCGAGGTGACCAGCGCCAGCAGGGAGACTATCTTGGACTCGAAGGGCGACGCGATCGAGAAGATCGAGAAGATCGAGAAGATCGAGAGAGGAGCTCCGCGGAGCTTCGGGCAGAGCAAGAGCGGCTACAAGACGGGGAAGAGCTCGCAGGATTTGATCGCCGCGGAGCAGTCGCAGGCACGGACGCGGACGCGGTCGACGAGACAGGGCAAAAAGGTCGACGGTCCGAGAAGCAGCGGGGAGACGACGATCCGCTCGGACCTCGTTTACGGCCAGACCGGCGAAACGTCGGAGAGTCGCAGCGAGTCCCGAACGGAGATCGTGCAGAAGTCGACGTCCTCGGCCACCGTCGTGGAGACGTCCTCCGCGGAGGACTATCGGCACCAGCATATTTCCAAGAGTACGATCGGCAACGGCAACGGCACCGACGGAGCGGCGGACCGCGAGCCCCGGACGCGCGCATCCGTCAGATCTTACGAGAACAGATCGGCCAGCGAGGAGGTTCGCGAAGAGACCACCAAGGACGGCCAAACCGTTTCCAGCACGACCAGGATCCGGGAATCGGACGAACGATTCGACGACAACGGCAGAACCACCGGCTCCCGAAGCCGCTTCGTCGACAGAGAGACCGCGGGAGTCGACGACAGGGTCGAGTCCTCCGTCGGTGAAAGCCCGAAGAGCGGAGCGAGGGAAATCGTCGGCCGCTGCAACAAACCGGGCCAGTCGGCGTGGGACGGCACGTTCGTCGGCGAAAGTCCGTCGCCGACCAGAGACCGCGGCGTCGAGAGAAACGTCGCGACGTCCGCGCCCTCGGCTCGCCGCGGCGACATTCGCGGCGACATTCGCGGCGACATTCGCGGCGACATTCGCGACGAGGCGAAAGCGGATCGGTCGGTCTCGAAAGCCGAAGCGCGGTCCGTGTCGCGGACCACCGAGTCCAGCGTCCAAGTCTCCTCCGTCTCGTCGGTCTCGGTCTCGGTCGCCGAGCAAGCGGCGTTCCGGGACTCGACGAAGATCCTCGTCGACGGGACCGTCGCCTCTTCGGACCGGCCCGGCCGCGAGGACGAGCGCGCTCGGGAGACGCGGAAGCTCGGGAGCAGGACCGCCAGACCCGGCGAGTCCTCCTGGGACGGCACTTTCGTCGCGGAGAAGCCTCCGGAGTCCGGCACCGTCTTCCATCGTTCCGGAGGCGACAACGTCGTCGAGTCCACGCGGAGATCGGACTTTCGAGAGAAGAGCGCCGACGGTTCCTACGAGAAGAAGTCCTCCGACGTCGTTCGCGTGGTCCACGGTGCGACCGATTCCTCGAGGTTCGTCTCCGAGGAGCGCCGCAACGTTACGGAAGAGTTCCGCGTCGATGGAAAATCGGTCGGCGAGGAGGACGGCCCGAGCCGGAGAGTCGCCAGACCCGGGGACTCGGCGTGGAACGGTCGGTTCGTTCGGGAGCAACCTCGCGACGGCCCGAAACGATCCGGCGAGACCGTCGTCCGGAAGAGCGACCGCGGATCGGACTCCGTGGACGTGCGAGAGCTGTCCGAGGAGCACGTGTCCAGCACGTCCGAGTCGTTCTCGACCTCCTACGTGGTGGAGTACGCCGGCACCGGCGACGAGAAGGCGAGCAAGGTCGAGAAGGCGACCTCCGTGTCGGAGACCATCGTCGAGGAGGACTCCGGGGACGCGAGCTCCCCTCGGAGCCCGGCGCGACCGGACTCGACGACCAGGGCCTACGGACCCGGCCGCTCGACCTGGGACGGCAGCTTCGTCCGCGAGTCGCCGCGGCCGTTCGACCGTCGCGGGAACCTCGACGGTCGCAGAGCCACCGATACCGTGCTGATCAGGGACGTGACGGAGGATCATCGCGCGTTCGACGAGACCGAGATCTCCTCGGCTTCCTACGTGGTCGAGCATTCGTCCAGCCAGCAGAGCTTCTCGGACGTCAAGGACTCCAGCCTGTCCTCCGTCGAGATCGTCTACGACGCGCAACCCGCGAAAGGAAAGACCGTCGGATTCTCGTCTTGGGACGGCACGTTCGTCTCGGAGAAGCCCGCGGAGCCGATCCGACCGCCGAGCAGGGAGTTTACGGTCGAACCGGTCGAGGTCGGACCTCCCGGAAAGCATCCCGCCGACTCCGCCACGTTCTCGACGGACCGGTCGACGACCGTCCGAGAGAGCTACTCGGACTCCGGCAATCTCGACTTTTCTGCCAGCTCCGCGGAGACGGTCGTCGTTCGCGGCGGCGCCGTCCCCGCGACCGCGAGAAAGACCGTTACCATAAAGGAGCATCCGACGAAGAGTACCGAGGAGGAGAAGAAGCCTCCGGAGAGTTCCGAGAAGATCGAGAAGAAGACCGAGAAGACCGAGAAGACCGAGAAGACCGAGAAGACCGAGAAGACCGGCAGGTCCGCGCGACCTACGAAACCTGGAGCCTCCAGCTGGGACGGGTCGTTCGTTCGCGAGAAGCCGGCGAAGGCCGACGAGAGCGCGCCCGCGGACGTCTCCGGCCCTCGTCCGGATAAACCGAGTAGTCCCGACGGGACTCTGGCACCCGACGCTCGGAAGACTCCGGCCGACGGAGTCGGGCGCGCCACTTATCTCACCGAGAAATCGATCGTTTTGTCGGACACCTCGAAGAACGTTCGAACCTCCGAGTTTCTCGCTTCCACCAGCCTCGAGGTTTCGGGCACGAGCGAGGTGTCCTCGACGATCGCGTTCGACGCGGAAGTCGCGAAACGTCCCGGAGAACCCGAGAGATCGCCTTCGGAAGGCGCGCCGCCAACCCGGGCGTCGCCGGCTGGAAAACGGCCCGAAGATGGCAGAAAGTCCCCCGATAAGCGTCCCGAGAGTCCGGAGAAAGCGGACAGGTCGAGCAGGCCGGCGAAGCCGGGTGCCTCCACCTGGGACGGCTCGTTCGTCTACGAGAAGCCGCTGGATTCGAAGAAGAGGCCGGCCGATCGGGACGAGAGACCCGCCGATCTACGAAAATTCCCGAGCGATTCGGTGAAAGACGAGCCGAAGGAGAAACCGAAAGACGAACCGAAGGACGAGCCGGAGGATACGTCGAAGGGTAAACCGAAGGACGACGGCGTCGCACGGCGCGTGTCCGTCGCGAAGCACGACGCGAAGGACAATCTCGAAACGATCCACCGATCTTCCTACGAGATCGATCTGTCGTCCAGCTTCGCCTCGACGCGGAACCTCCGCGACGTGCTCGAGGAACGCGTCATCGGTGAATTCACGACGGACGTCCGTAAAGACGCGGTGAGTAACCACCACTCGTCATCGTCGAATCTACTCGTTCGCCGGCGAACGAAGTACGCAGCGAGCCTCTCGTTCGTCCATTCTTTCGAGACTCGCTCTTCCAACGATCGCGCGGGCGCGCGCCGATCGTCTAGAAAATAACGCGTCGGCGTTTCGGAGGAAAGGAGGTAAAAACCGAGTCGAGAGCAGCGCACCTCGCGGAAGAGGCTCGGTCGGTGCACGATGCTCGTTACTTTCGCTTCGAAACCGGGCGAAGGTCGTAGATTCTCGCGCGTTATCCGCATCGAATATAACGCTGACGTAACCGAGTCGGCTCGGAACCGAGAAGAGATACGGAGAACACCGAGGGTTCCGGTTCCGGTTCCGGTTCGCGATCGATTCCGCATCCGTTCCCACAGGTGCGAACGCGCGATCCTCGGACGTTCGGGTCCGTCGTATCGGAAAATGTCGCGAATCCGATTTACTTTCGAACGATCCGCGATTCGTACGACCATCCTCGGCTCGAGTTACGCGCCGAACCGGCCGGCGTCTCGCCTCCGGATTCCCACGATGGCAATTTCTAATTTCTAATCGCGTCGCAGGGAATGAGCAAAGTCCGCGAAAAACGAAGCAGGCTCGCGTCGCGTATACATTTGCAGTTTCCCTTCGACTTCGGAGTCGCGGACCAACGTTTGTTTTCGCTCCGCGTCGGGTCCCGTCCCGTCCCGTCCCGTCGCGCCGTCGACGGAGTTTCTCTCGGACGACCTACTAACGCGAGACGGCCCCCGACGCGTTACAAAATGGAAAAAACTGTCGAGTCGGTGCTTCGTATTCGACTAATTATAACTTGGCGTCACGGACCGTCTTCGCGATTGCGAAACACGTTCCGAACGCCGATAAATCCCGTCCGCGATCCAATTATCTCGAGAACGCGGTTACCCCACGCGGTGGGGTCGGTGTGCAACGGGTTCTTCACCGTTCTCGACAGGGTTGCCGACCGAAGGGACGACGAAAGACTCGTCGTTCGCATCGATCGTCGAAATCGAACGGATTCCCTTCGAGCAGGTTGTTTCGGGGTTGGTTCGCGTTCTCGCGCGCGGCGTTCGAACGGACTCGATTACGCGAACGGGAGAGCAAAGCGATTTCTGTTGCCGCGCGCGGCACGGCAAGCGTCTCTGTTTACAACGATCGTTACACCGTCTCGAACGATTTTCTTGCTCCGAACCGAGTCTGTCGCGACTCACCGTACACACAACACGATTCCGAGGTTTTCGGCATCGGAACGGGCGAACAGTCGTCGGACTCGCTCCTACGGGAACGGGCCGCGAACGGGTACCGAGATAACGCGAGGGTGCAAGGGTGCCGACGAAATGGGCGCGTGCGTCTCTCTGCTGTGGCGATTCTCTCGAATCGACAAACTTCTCCGCGACGTCCTGCGCCGTGCGGAGGCAGCGGCAATCGCCTGTAATCGACTTCAATTCGGAGTACGTGGAGCGACGATAATTGCGCGAGTCGCTGCCAAGTTCGGTAGTGATCTCATCGGGTTACCCCGGTTGCCCCGCGGACCTCTTTGCTCCTCGCTCCTCCTCGCTCTCGACGCTCCCCGGTCGAAACGGATCGTCGTCGTCGCGTCGTCTCTCCGGTTATCCCAGGTATCGGGATAATATTCAACGCGCGAGCTTCTCGCGAATATACGGCGGAGTCGTTTCGCGAAAGATAGACACACGGTGCCTTCGAGAAGAAACTCGTCATCGACGCGTCGTCTCGCGACAGATGCGCGGTGTTTTTAAGAAGGAAGCTTAAGTACGCGGTGAGATAATCTCGCGAAAGATACGCGGGGTGTGTCTTCGAACGTTCGCGGTCGAAGGATCTTGGAAAAGATACAGCGTGTCCCGTTCGAAACGAATCATTCGAACGGCGAATCGGAAAAGTGGCTCGTCGTTGAGACTTCGTTCGCGGAAAAACGTACGATTCTGCACGGAGAGACGCCGTCGATTCGTACGCGGAACGCGTTTTCGAACGGGAGACGCGCCGTAGATCGAGCCGACCTCGCGCGCGCGCGCGCGCACCGTCCACGATCTCGCGATCGACCCGCGTCCGATACGCGGGACAACCTTTGACCCGATTCGTTCGCGACGCGACGGTTTTTTCGCTTCCGTCACGCTCGGATCGACACCGACGCGACGCTCGCGCGCCTCGCGAGCTTCGTCGCTTCGTTTCGCGAAACGATCGATCCGAGTTCCGAATTTCGAAGGGTTCTCTTCGACCGATTCCCGCAATTCGATTCTAGCAAGTTTCTCGGAATTCCTTGAAAGACGAGCATCGAGATGCGCAATTCCAAATTTGGTACGCTCGTCGATCGACGTTCGAAGAATCCGCGCCTTTTTGTCGCGCGATAATCATTTTTCGCGGAAAATACAACGGTGTTCGTAGATACGAGGAAACATCCGTGTACGGCGGTGACCAAGTTTGGAAGCGACGTAATCGGCCGCCGACGGGTCGTTCGATGCTCGACCAATTGGATTTCTCGGCACGATTCGCGATTGGCTTTACTTAACCCATTATATATCGTTGCGATCATCGGCGACACGCTCGGAACTTTTCCCTCGCCGCGCCTCGCCGCGCCTCGACCATTGTTGCTCGCGTTCGAGGCCTGCGCGTCGACGAGGCGAACGTCGCGGTCTCCAAAAATATCGGTATTTCGAATTTCCAATCTCGAGCGCGTGCCGCTTCTCGCAACCTTGCTCGCGCCGATAATGCCGTTCGTTCGTCGACGACGGAAGAGCCGATCGCGGAATTTACGAGAGCCGAGACGGTTCGACGCGTCGCCGCGTATCGCCGACGCGCGAACCAGTCGGTCGGCCGAATCGCGTACCTTCGACCTCGCGATCGTTGCGCTCTTCGCTGGAAACTCTGCTGGTCGCGCGAACGTTACCGAAGCAGGCCCCGGAGAGCGTCGCGATCGCGTAACGCGCTGATCGCGCTCCGATGTTACCTCGTACCTGAAACTCGCGTATTCTACGCATACCTTCTACGCGATACCTTTCGTGCTCGATAATTCTCGAATACTCGCTCGAGAAGACGATCGTCGCGGGTCGCGCAGCTGCCGGGCTTCGGAAAACGAAGGACGAGAAGTCTCCGATAAATAGCGTCTCGAACCGATCGAGACGTCGGATCGAGCGAACGGTCGACGAAACGATCGGTATCGGATTCCCCTGCCGGCGTCGCGAATATTCGATCCTCGGAGGGCCTCGATCTTCTTCGCGTATTCCAAAGAATTCGCAATATTCGCGTCGAACATCGGACACCGGACGTCGGTTGTCCCCGTGTACTCGCGTCGCGTTTCGTTTGGTAGATCTACGCGCGGCGCTCGGCGTCCTTGTTAAAACTCGACGCAAAAGACCGCGCTACCATCGCTCGTCGGAGCTCGCAAAATTTCTCGTTCGACGAATTCACGGGGTCGCATCGAATCGCATCGGGTCGCATCGAATCGCATCGGGTCGCATCGGGTCGCACCGAGTTTCGAGGAAACCTCGTCGAATTTATGGGAACCGAATTTCCACGCATCGTTTATCCTGCAAGTAAATTCCCGAGTAAATTTTCGTTCGGTTTCGGGAAAGCTTCCGGACTGGACGCGCGAGGCACGTCGAAAAAACGCGACCGTTTCCATGAATTTCGCTCCGATCGAGCGACCGATGCGCGGCTTAAATAATTCAACGAGCAATTTCGGCGAGCGTATCCCGATGATCGATACGGGGCGTAACCTTCCTGTCTCCGAATAACGATAGAATACCCGCGCGAAGGCGACCCGACATCGCCTTGCTCTAGAACCGATTACAGCCGTTTACCACCCGCTTATGTCCGCTCGATGTTCGCGAAACTGAAACACCCACGTACGGGTGTCCCGGTGCGGCGAATGCCGCGGCGACGGCGACGGTTCGATCCTCGCTGGTCGGCGCGAGGTTTCGTTCGTTCCCTTCCACGCGTTTCCGATCGTTTCAACGGGGCCGTCGTCGAGGACGCTCGTGTCGAGAGCGGCGCTAACCGGAAACGAAGCTACCGAGAAAGAACGTCGCCGCGGAGCTCGTTTCGTCGAAACGAAATAAAATGCGGGAGCGTTGCTCGATAAGCCGTGCGGCACACGTTCGCGCGAGGATGCGTTCGGCGGCTTTCGACGGCTTTCGACGACGAAACAGAATCCTCGGAGAGAAGTTGCTCCGGGTTACGCGATACCGTATGCCGTGTCTCTAGACGCCGTATGCGCCGATCTCGCGTTACCCCGCGTTCCGTTTAGCCAAGCACCAACGTCGGTTTTTCGATCTAGGATAGACGAGAGGCGCTCGTTGCACGCCGTAGCCCGATAATTAACGAGGCAGGAACCGAACCAGCCGATTACCGCTTTCTCGGCGCTACAAAACCCGAAGTAGCCTGTTAGACTTCGATCGGCGCGCGATTCCCTACCCCGTTTTTCACCCTTTCCACCGGTGAAAATGAATTTCCTCGTTGATACGCGAGCGCGTTGCTCAGCCTCGACTCGACGGCGACAACGAGAGATTCTATGCATCTCGAATTATGAACTCGCGAAAACGCTCCTCCTCTTCCTGGACGACGAAAGAGATCAAAGATTCGATCGAGTCGAATCGCTCGGTCGACGAGCAAACGAGCGAATCTCTTGCGAAACAGCTATTAAATCCGAGGAGCGATCCGACGATTCAATTGGAAATCGTCGGAGGCGGACGGAACTCGGACAAAAGGCTGTGGACGGCTTTTCAGCGCGGCTAAACCAAACGCAGCGCGAACCTGCCGAGTGCGCCGAGGAAGGTGTTCGTTGTCGCGCGCGCGCGCGCGCGCGCTCGATTTCCCAGATACGAGCGGTTCGATCGGTTTCCGCCAACGAACGCGACACCTCGACGTTCTTCGCGATCGCAGAAAGAATCGGAAGATGCATCGTGTCGCCTTTTTGTTTACAGAGCGATGTCACCGTATCAACGACCGAATTCATCGACAAAGAGCAGGCGACTAGCATGGTAGCGCGGGATGTCGTCGACGACGCCCGGTTCGACAAGTTCCCCGGCTCCGTCCCTAGGTCTCCGGCGGATTTTCCACGGAAAAGCTCGCCGGACGGACCGGGTTATCCTCGGGGAATCCCTGGACTCAGAGAGGACGATCGACCGAAGCCGATTCCAGCCGCTGGGAAACCCAGTCGCCCTCCTCGACGGGACGACAGTCCCAAAAGGTACCGTTTTCATACCCGTGTCTCGGCGAAACCCGCGAGACCGGAAAATGCAAGCGAACCTTAAGTTGAGCGCGTCGAACCGAATCGAATTTTTACAGAAGCTCCGTCGCCGGGCCGCGATCGCCGGAGAAGCCGCGCGATCATGTCTCGCCCGCGAGCAGACCGGCGGCTGGCAAGCCGAGCAGGCCCGAGTCCAAGCCCGAGCCCGAGCCCGAGCCGGAGCCGGAGCCGGAGCAGAAGCAGGAGCCGGAGGAGAGGCCGGCGGCCGAAAAACCATCTCGGCCGAAGGAGACCGGCGAGAAACCGAGAAGGGGCGATCAGACGCCCGACTCCCTCGAAGAGGACGACGCTGCACGGCCTGGAAAGCTGCCAGACATCCTCTCCAAGATCCCGCTGAAGGAGCAGTGCATCTGCGAGCTCTGCACCTGCGGGTGAGTTCGAGAACATCCGCGATCCACGGTTCACGAAATCGTACCGAACGCTCGTTATCGCGAGTTAGAAGCACCGAGGAACCTTAAAGTCGGCCGGACGCGCGCGCGAAGCTCCCAAAGGGCTAAAAGCGGAAAGATCCCCGACCCATCGGCGGCGTCCACTTTCAGCGGCCGCTCGCGATTAAATTCCACTCTCGGAGTTCGTCTATTAATAGGGACGCGAGTCGGGAAAAAAGTTGTTGTTCGCGCGGAACGTGCTTGGAATTATTAATCGGTCGGTCGAGCGCGGCAACCGAAGCCCGCAGTCGCGGTTTTAGTCGGTCGCGCGGCTCGGCGCGTTGCAGCGAGCTTTCGTCATCGCGACCATGCGTGCGTCAGCTTTTTCCAAGATTCTCCGTCGCTGCGAACGAATACGATACCGCGAGACCGATGCTACGGGACGATTCGCGACGATCGAGACTCGTTCCCGATTCGTCCTCGACGAACGATTTACGACGCGAACGCGACACCGAGGAATTATGGGAGGCGGAAATTATGCCTCGCGTCCGCGGCTCCCCACCGATCTATTTTTCCGCCTTTCAGGGAACCTCTCGATCGAGCTCGTCGGGGCTCGTTGGTTCCATTCGCTCGTTTACAAACGATCCTTCGTATCGTACGCGTGCCTCCGCCGATTACTCGGTGTAAACACGGTCGCGGAGATCTCGGCTCCGGTTTCCGATAAGAACGTCGCCCGTTGGTTCCGCGTCTTCGCAACTCGCGAGCGCATCCCCTGCAAAAACGGCGAACGATCCGCGCTTCTTTAACCGAACCAACGAAACTTTTCTTTCCCTTCCGATCGAATCGAACGCGTTTATAGCCGCGCGTTACATCGGTGGGTCGATCGAAGCGATCGAAAGTTTATCGTCGTTGCGTCGCCCGCTTCGAATCGGCCTGTACGCGCGTATCGACGCGAACGCGGCATACGAAAGGAGCGCGCGCGCGGCAAAAGAGCGAAAAGTGGGACACGAGACAAGCCCTTCTACGGCAGGTTGTTCCGAGCCAATCGCGATCGGCTGTTCGGTCATCTTCCTTATTCGACCGAAAGCCTCGAGGCGAGGCGAGACGAGGCGAAGCGGGTCGTGCCGAGACGATCCGAGTCTCGCCAAGGCAAGGTGATCCTGATTTCGATTTAAGGCGATCCACCCGTGACAGAGTCCGTTTCGTCGGGACCCGCGAAGGACGGGCCCATTGTTCGGCCAAAAATCAAGGATATCGAGGCGACGGCGGCGACGGCGGCGACGACGGCCCTGGCGCTTCTCCTTCTTTGGAAATTCTCGAGCGCGCGGAGTCGACCGCGGCTCCTTGGACCAACGCGTTCGACGCGAGAACCGAGCCAATATTTGCGAATTGGGTCACCGTCGAGCTGTTCTCGATCGCGAAATTGATAGCCGTAACCGGAGAACGTACGCGCGAGTGCTTCCGCTCGCAAACGTCGATTCCGAAGCTTGTTGTCCCGCGGAGACTCTTTTCCGTCGTTCCATCGATATTCCGACGAATTTCGTTCGAACGCTCGCACGCGTGTTCGACGCACGAGGACTGCGCGATCGCATTTCTTCAAATCGATTTCGATCGCGGTTCGAATCCCTTCGTCCTGAAAATTTCTAGCTCGTCGCATTCGGTGCCGTTCGATGTCGCGGATGCGGCAACACACCGACGACCTCCGTCTTCGACGCGAACGCGGAGGAACTTGGCGTCTTCGAATTTTCGAATGTCGGCATTTTGGCAGGGCGCGCTCGGCCTAATCGACGCGGAGATTGCGGGAACGCGCGACTTCCTCGGCTCGTTAATTGCCAATTACGGGATCGCGCGCGGTTCCTCGAACAGCGTTATTCGCCGGTGCCGATGGAATTCGTTGGCCGTTTAAAAACATCGTTGTCGCGCGAGCGTCGCGCCGAGAACGGCGAAAAAAAGAGCTTCGAACAGGGGGGAGTCCGCTCGCTCGGAATCAATCGACACCGTGGCCGGCCGATACGCGGCGAGGCGAGGCGAGGCGATTCGTTTGTCAGCTTTTCAGCCGATCGGTCGACGAACCGTTCAAATTATCGTCGCGACCGTTTCGTCGCTCCGCGAATCCATAGGGAAACTCGCGCTAAACGCCAGAGAAATCGGATCCGATCTTTCGAACGTTTCCTCGCGCGACAACTGTTACCATTTTCACAGGAATCGATTCCTTCCTTTGAAACGGACCTGTCGCGTTTTCCGACGAGGCGCCGAAACATTTCGGGGAACTCGATAGATAGAATTATAGTCGAACTCCGGAGCACGGTCGCGGCATCCGATAATTTTTTCGGCGCGCGTCGAGGCTCGGATCCCCGTAATCTTAGTTTTTCCCGCTCTCGTCGATCGATTTCCCTCGCGCGGCCGAAAATGCCGAGGAGGAGCTCGGAAACGATCTCTGTCCCGTCCCGTAATCGTCGGTGACCAGCGGAACGATTCGGTGTACGAGAGAGCGGTCGTTCGAGCAAATGTGTTTCAATTAGGCTTCCTTAACGTGCGGAGCGCACGGAACGTAGCGGACACGGGACGACGGGACGACGGGACTCGGACCGTGACAATGATCGCGTGCGCGACTCCTACGACGTAGCCGTGCGGCCACGGTACTCGCCAGTTTATCAATGGATTAACGGCGGTTATCCACCGGGGAAGACGGTCGTGAATATTCTCGAGCGACGGTTAAATTGCCTCCGACGTCCAATTAGGAGTATCCTGTCGCCTCTAAAGGACCAGCGGGGCGGACCGCCTCCGGTTTCGCGAAATTCCGAAGGATCGCGTCGAACCGCAAACTATAATAACCGAATATCTCCGAATACCCCTCGTCGACGCGCGTACAGGTACGAGCACGGGCACGGGCACGGTCGCGCGGCAACTCGTGGAAACGCGGTACAATTAGGACGAGCCGTCCGTGCGCGTCGGTTCGTCCAACAACGGAACTATCGAGCACAAATAATACAATTTTACCGTTTCAAATCCTCGGATGCCGATCTTCGCCCTTGGTTAGAAATATCCATCGAAACGCCAACGAACCGGTAGGCGGTCGAAGCTGTTAGGCTATCGTTGTCTAGTTCGACGAGACGTCGAAGTAGTAGACGCAGGAACGCGTAAAAGAAAATCGATGCGTCAAAATTCGAACTCAACGTAAAGGATTCGATGTACGGGGATTCGATATACCTGCGTACAACGATGTTTTCCTCGTCTCGCTTCGTTTCGATCCGACGCAATTTTACCGATTTTTATCGAGACGACGGTGGCACCTCTTGCGGCGCAACGTCGAAGCTCGGGTCGGGGACTCGCGCAACGCGAATCATCGTTGCGTCGAAACGCTCGAACCGTTGACCAATAACCGAGTTCGAGCGTTTCGCCGCTATCCCGACCGGCGCTGCACGGTACTCTCACCGGAGCTTCGAGATTTCGCCGCGAGTGGCGCCACGAGTCCACGGCTGCGCCATTTTACCACGTTTCGATATTTCGATATTTCGATATTTCGATATTTAGAATAAAAAGTAAACGTTGTCGTCGCGGCACGGATGCGGGACGTTCGGGTCTCCGTAACGTTTCCGTAACCTCGGATCTCGTTCTTCGGCCGTCGAATTACTCTCCGATGGAAGAGATTCCGCGCGAAATCGTCCAACGTTTTCTAAGACATGTTTTCGCGACGAAGCGCGCGCACGTGTACGGCGCGAAAGGTAAATTGTCTCGACGACTTCCTAATATCGGAATCTTTGGGACTCCCTCCGAGAAAATGTTGTCGTTTCGTTCCAGGCGTCACCGTTGTCCCCACAATCTGGTCCCGCAGGAACATCTGGAGATCCCTCGGGAGTCGGTTCACGCGGTCTCGTCTTACCGCGAGGAATTCGACGAGAAACGCGTCGAGAGGCAGACCGTCTACCACCATGAGGATCATCTGCGGATGGAGGGCGACTTCGTCGGCGAGCGGCGCACGGATTACGTAGCGACGAGGGGCGAGAGGGCTCCGGTCAGGAGACCGCAGGACCACCTGAAACCCGAGGGCGAATTCATCGGCAGGCCGAGGGAGGAGGCGCCGAAATATGGGGACCGTGCGCCGGTCAGGAGACCGCGTGACAACCTCAAGCTCGAAGGGGAATTCGACGGTAAGCTCTCGGTCTCCGTAGAATCGTTCCGAAACGGTAGCCGAATAAAACGGCCACCGTCGAAACTCGCTTCCGTCGTAGAAGTCGACCGCGAACGTGTCGCGGTCGCTCGTTTCGCAGGTATAATATTATACACGGTCGTACAACATTAAACGACTTTAGCGTTTCTACGACGAATCGGCGACTTCCGGTCGCCGGAAACGGCGTCTCGCGAAACGTTGGCTCGTCGATCCCGTACGATCGAAAGGTAATAATCGCGTCGCGGCTGTATCAGGCACGACCACCACGGAGCTGGTGTTCACCGGGACTCCCGGCGAGCGACCGAGCCCGGTTCGTCGGAACACGTACACGAAGGTCGAGGGTGAATTCGTCGACACGACCACCTCGAGATCGGAGTACGTCGATCATCGATCGGTTCAGCGGACAGAGATCGTCGAGCGGACGGACAACCTCACGGTGGGAGAGGGTGAATTCACGGTAAGCGGGGTCGGGGGGAAAGACGTTTCGCGTCCGATTCCTCGCGTCGCGAGGCCGCGCGATCCATCTTTCATCGTGCTGGAAATCTTCCGCAGGGTGCCTCTCGTTCGAAGGAGGATTTCCACGATTACGACAAGATCGAACGACTGCCTCGGAGGCGGCTGGAGTACACCGCGGACGAGGAGGATCGGTTCTACGGCAAGACCGACGCGATCGAGACCGTCGCGACGACCACGCAGGAACAGTATCGGAGCTTCGATCGGACCGACTACAGGAGCACCGCGGTGATCAGGCGCGAGGACGAACTCCGGCCGGAAGGTCCGTTCGATGGCGTGCCCAGCTCCAAGGACGATTATCGGCTCCCGGCGCCGACCGCGAGGCCGGAGATCCGAAGGCCGAAGGACACGTTGCGGCCCGAGGGACCGTTCGAAGCTCGACCGAAGGACGATTTCTCGCCGAAGAGGGCCGAGCGGCCGGAAGCGAAGAGACCGCGGGACAACTTGCGTCCGGAGGGCCGGTTCGAGGTTCCCGAGAAGCCCGCGATCGGGCCAGTCGAGAGAAGGACGCCGATCAAGCATCCGGACAATCTGCGTCCCGAGGGAGAATTCGAGCGGCCCGAGCACGAAGCGTACAGGCCGGCCGAGCGGCCCGAGCCGAGAAAGCCCGAGGACAACCTGAAGCCCGAGGGCGACTTCGAGCGTCCGCGGCAGCCCGAGAAGGTGGCCCCGGTCGAACGAAGGTCGCCCATCAGGCATCCGGACAATCTGAAGCCCGAGGGAGAGTTCGTCGGCAAGCCGAAGGACGACTACGACGGGACGGTTACGAAGCCCGAGAGGGCGGTGGCGAAGAGGCCGGAGGACAATCTGAGGCCCGAAGGACCGTTCGAGGCTCGGCCGAAGGACGATTACCGACCGGTTCGCGGCGAGAGGGTCGAGACGACGAGACGAACCGACAATCTTCGAATGGAAGGGGACATCGAAACCTACAGGACCAGGGACGAGTTCGCGCGGTTCTTGATTCGCGAGAGGGCCGAGGTGACCAGATACCAGGACAACCTGCGCATGGAGGGCGAGTTCACGGACGCGAGAACGAGGGACGACTTCAAGGTTGTTTCGAAAGGGGAGCGCGCCGACATCGTCAGGCACCCGGACAATCTGAAAGCCGAGGGCCCGTTCGAGGGTCGACCGCGCGATGATTTCGGCCCGAAGAGAGCCGAGAGACCGGAGGTCAAGAGGCCGGAGGACAACTTGAAGCCGGAGGGAGAATTCGTCGGCCGGCCGAAGGAGGAGGCTCCCGCGAGGGGCGAGAGGGCTCCCGTCGTCAAGCCCGTGGACAACCTGAGACCGGAAGGGGAGTTCGAGAGACCGGAGAAGGCGGCGCCGATGGGGCGGGCCGAGAGAAGAACGCCGATCAAGCACGCGGATAACTTGAAGCCCGAAGGGGAATTCGAGAGACCGAAGCCCGAACAATTTCGGCCGGCGGAGAGGCCCGTCGTCGAGAAACCTCGGGACAATCTGCGGCCCGAGGGCGAGATCGAGATGCCGGAGCGGGAGCCGGTCGGTCTTGCCGAAAGGCGCACTCCCATAAAACATTCCGACAACCTGAAACCGGAAGGCGATTTCGAGAGGCCCAGACCCGAAGAGTTCCGGCCCGCGGAGAGACCCGTCGCGAAGAAACCGCGGGACAATCTGTTTCCGGAAGGCGAGATCGAGATGCCGGAGAGACAACCTTTCGGCCCGGCCGAGAGAAGAAGTCCTATAAAGCGCACCGACAACCTCAGACCCGAAGGGGACTTCGAGAGACCGAGACCCGAAGAGTTTCGGCCCGCGGAGAGGCCCGTGGTTAAAAAGCCCCGTGACAATCTGCGACCCGAGGGCGAGATGGAGATGCCGGAGCGGGAACCGGTCGGTCCGGCCGAAAGGCGCACGCCCATAAAGCATTCCGACAACTTGAAACCGGAAGGCGATTTCGAGAGGCCCCGTCCCGAAGAGTTCCGGCCCGCGGAGAGACCGGTCGCGAAGAAACCGCTGGACAATCTGCGGCCCGAGGGCGATTTCGTCGGTCGGCCGATAGAGGACGCGCCGACCAGAGGCGAGAGAGCGGAAGTGAAACGACCGGAGGACAACTTGAAGCCGGAGGGAGAGTTCGTCGGCCGGCCGAAGGAGGAGGCTCCCGCGAGGGGCGAGAGGGCTCCCGTCGTCAAGCCCGTGGACAACCTGAGGCCGGAAGGAGATTTCGAGAGACCGGAGAAGGCGGTGCCGATGGGGCCGGCCGAGAGAAGAACGCCGATCAAGCACGCGGATAATTTGAAGCCCGAAGGGGAATTCGAGAGACCGAGGCCCGAACAGTTTCGGCCGGCGGAGAGGCCCGTCGTCGAGAAACCTCGGGACAATCTGCGGCCCGAGGGCGACATCGAGATGCCGGAGCGGGAGCCGGTCGGTCCGGCCGAAAGGCGCACGCCCATAAAGCATTCCGACAACCTGAAACCGGAAGGCGACTTCGAGAGGCCTCGTCCCGAAGAGTTCCGGCCCGCGGAGAGACCCGTCGCGAAGAAACCGCGGGACAATCTGTTTCCGGAAGGCGAGATCGAGATGCCGGAGAGACAACCTTTCGGCCCGGCCGAGAGAAGAAGTCCTATAAAGCGCACCGACAACCTCAGACCCGAAGGGGACTTCGAGAGACCGAGACCCGAAGAGTTTCGGCCCGCGGAGAGGCCCGTGGTTAAAAAGCCCCGTGACAATCTGCGACCCGAGGGCGAGATGGAGATGCCGGAGCGGGAACCGGTCGGTCCGGCCGAAAGGCGCACGCCCATAAAGCATTCCGACAACTTGAAACCGGAAGGCGATTTCGAGAGGCCCCGTCCCGAAGAGTTCCGGCCCGCGGAGAGACCGGTCGCGAAGAAACCGCTGGACAATCTGCGGCCCGAGGGCGATTTCGTCGGTCGGCCGATAGAGGACGCGCCGACCAGAGGCGAGAGAGCGGAAGTGAAACGACCGGAGGACAACTTGAAGCCGGAGGGAGAGTTCGTCGGCCGGCCGAAGGAGGAGGCTCCCGCGAGGGGCGAGAGGGCTCCCGTCGTCAAGCCCGTGGACAACCTGAGGCCGGAAGGAGATTTCGAGAGACCGGAGAAGGCGGTGCCGATGGGGCCGGCCGAGAGAAGAACGCCGATCAAGCACGCGGATAATTTGAAGCCCGAAGGGGAATTCGAGAGACCGAGGCCCGAACAGTTTCGGCCGGCGGAGAGGCCCGTCGTCGAGAAACCTCGGGACAATCTGCGGCCCGAGGGCGACATCGAGATGCCGGAGCGGGAGCCGGTCGGTCCGGCCGAAAGGCGCACGCCCATAAAGCATTCCGACAACCTGAAACCGGAAGGCGACTTCGAGAGGCCCCGTCCCGAAGAGTTCCGGCCCGCGGAGAGACCCGTCGCGAAGAAACCGCGGGACAATCTGTTTCCGGAAGGCGAGATCGAGATGCCGGAGAGACAACCTTTCGGCCCGGCCGAGAGAAGAAGTCCTATAAAGCGCACCGACAACCTCAGACCCGAAGGGGACTTCGAGAGACCGAGACCCGAAGAGTTTCGGCCCGCGGAAAGGCCCGTGGTTAAAAAGCCCCGTGACAATCTACGACCCGAGGGCGAGATCGAGATGCCGGAGAGGGAACCGGTCGGTCCGGCCGAAAGGCGCACGCCCATAAAGCACTCCGACAATCTGAAACCGGAAGGCGACTTCGAGAGGCCCCGTCCCGAAGAGTTCCGGCCCGCGGAGAGACCGATCGCGAAGAAACCGCTGGACAATTTGCGGCCCGAGGGCGATTTCGTCGGTCGGCCGAAAGAGGACGCGCCGACCAGAGGCGAGAGAGCGGAGGTGAAACGACCGGAGGACAACTTGAAGCCGGAGGGAAGCTTCGATCGACCGGAGAAAAAGCCGATGGGCCCTGCCGAGCGAAGAAGTCCGATCAAGCACCCGGACAACCTGCGGCCGGAGGGCGAGTTCGAGAGGCCGGAGCACGAGGAGTACAGACCGGCCGAGAGGCCCGAGGCGAAGAAGCCGCGGGACAACCTGAAGCCCGAGGGAGAGTTCGACAGACCGGAGCCGACGCGGGTCGTCGGCCCGGCCGAAAGAAGGACGCCGATCAAACGCGCGGACAACTTGAAGCCGGAGGGCGAGTTCGTCGGGAAGCCGAAGGAGGAGGCTCCGAAGCGCGGGGAACGCGCCGACGCGAAGAAGCCGAGGGACAATCTGCGGCCCGAGGGCGAGTTCGAGCGACCGCGGCCGGAGACGTCGCCCGCGAGGCCCGCCGAGAAGAGGACGCCCATCAGGCATCCCGACAACCTGAAGCCCGAGGGAGAGTTCGTCGTCGAGCCGAAGGACGACTACAAGCCGACCAGGGGAGAAAGGGCGGACGTGAAACGACCGGAGGACAATCTGAGACCCGAGGGTCCGTTCGAAGGACGCCCCAAGGACGATTTTGTTCCCGTGCGCGGCGAGCGGGCCGACGTTACGAAACGCACCGACAATCTGCGAATGGAAGGTAACATCGAGACTTATCGGTCCCGGGACGAGTACACCGATTTCTTGATCAGAGAGCGGACCGAGGTGACCAGATACCAGGACAACCTGCGGATGGAGGGCGAGTTCACGGGCGCGAGGACCAGCGACGACTTCAAGCAGCCGGTCAAGCTCGAGAGAACGGACGCGGTGAAGCACGAGGACAACTTGAAGCCGGAGGGGCCGTTCGAGGCTCGGCCGAAGGACGATTACTCGCCGCCGAAGAGGGCCGAGAGGCCGGAGATCAAGAAGCCGGAGGACAACTTGAGGCCCGAGGGAGAGTTCGACAGGCCGGAGAAGAAGCCGGCCGGCCCTGCCGAGCGAAGAAGTCCGATCAAGCATCCGGACAATCTGCACCCCGAGGGAGAGTTCGCGGGACGGCCGAAGGAGCAGGCTCCGAGGAGGGGCGAGAGGGCGGAGGCGAAGAAGCCGAGGGACAACCTGAAGCCCGAGGGCGAGTTCGAGCGGCCCGAGAAGAAGCCCGCGGGCCCCGCCGAGCGAAGAAGTCCCATCAAGCATCCGGACAATTTGCATCCGGAGGGAGAGTTCGCGGGACGGCCGAAGGAAGAGGCGCCCACCAAGGGCGAGAGAGCGGACACGAGGCGTCCGGAGGACAACCTGAGGCTCGAGGGCCCGTTCGAGGCGCGACCGAGAGACGACTTCGCCCCGAAGAGGGCCGAGCGGCCCGAGGTCCGCAAGCCGCGGGACAACCTGAAGCCCGAGGGCGAGTTCGACAGACCCGAAAAGTCTCCGGTTGGCCCGGCCGAGAGGAGGGCGCCGATTCGCCACGAGGACAACCTCCACCCCGAAGGAGATTTCGCGGGTCGACCCAAGGACGACTTCGGGCCGAAGCGGGCCGACAGGCCGGCGCAGAAGAAGCCGAAGGACAACCTGAAGCCGGAGGGCGAGTTCGCGGGCAAGCCCAAGGACGATTACGGGCCGACGAGAATCGAGAGGAGGACGGACATCGTGGTGCACAGGGACAACTTGAGGCTGGAGGGCGACATCGAGGTGCGCAGATCGAGGGACGACTACAAGGCGGTCTCGAGGATGGAGCGCGTGGACGCGGTGCGCCGGGAGGACAACCTTCGGATAGAGGGCGAGTTCGTGGACGTCGCGAGGCGCGACGACTACCGGGCGACACGCGGCGAGCGCAGCGAGATCGTGAAACACGAGGACAACCTGAGACCGGAGGGCGAGTTCGAGAGGCCGCCGGAAACGGCGCCGCTCGGTCCCGCGGAGAGGAGATCGCCGATCAAGCATCCCGACAACCTGAAGCCCGAGGGTCGGTTCGCGCAGAGGCCGAAGTCCCCGACGCCCGTCAAAGGCGACCGGGCCGCGACCACGAAGCCCAAGGACAATCTGAAGCCGGAGGGCGAGTTCGAGAGGCCCTCGAGATCTCCGGCCGGTCCCGCCGAGAGAAGATCCCCGATCAAGCACCCGGACAATCTGCACCTCGAGGGAGACTTTGTCGGCCGGCCGAGGCAAGACGTTGTTCCGACCAGGGGAGAACGCGCCGACGTCAAGAAGCCGAAGGACAACTTGCACCCGGAAGGGGAGTTCGCGAAGAGGACGCCGCCGCGGACGGTGGTCCCGGCCGAGAGACGCGCTCCCATTCGTCGCGAAGACAATCTCCATCCGGAAGGCGACTTTTACGACTTTGCCCCGAAGAGGGTCTCGCCCGCGAAGAAGCCTCTGGATCTGGATCTGTCGCGGCCGGAGGGCGAGAAGGACGAGCGCGGGTACTACGCGAACGGCGAGCGCGTCGAGATCGCTCGTCGTCGTCGCGAGGATCGTTCGCGGACCGAGAGAGAGACGTCCGACGTCCTTCGGACCAGAGAAGACTACGAGAAGGTCGAGCGGGTCGAGCGGGTCGAGCGGGTCGAGCGGCTCGAGCGGCTCGAGCGGCTCGACGCGCGCAAGCGCGAGGAAAACCTGAAGATCGAGGGCGAGTTCGTCGACGCTCGGCGCAGGGACGATCGCGTCCGCGTGGTCGAGAAGCATCCGGACAATCTGCGGCCCGAGGGCGAGATCGAGTTCGAGCGTCCGCAAAAGTCTCCGACCGGTCCGGCGGAGAGAAGGACGCCCATCAGGCATCCGGACAATCTGAAGCCCGAAGGGGACTTCGAGAGGAGGACGCCGGAAAGGATGGGTCCGATGGAGCGTCGCGCGCCGATTCGTCGATCCGACAACCTGAAGCCCGAGGGAGACTTCGTCGGAAGACCGCGCGACGATTTCGCGCCGCAGAGGGTCGAGAGGGTGGAAGCGATTCGTCGGGAGGACAATCTGAGGATGACCGGCGAGTTTCGGGACAGCACGTCGCAGAGGTCCACGTACACGGTGGTGCGCGGCGAGCGGGCCGAGATCAAGCGGCACGAGGACAACCTGAAGATCAGCGCCGGCGCCATGGAGACCAAGACCACGAACAGGGACGCGTTCGTCCCCGCCCGAAAGGAGGACTCGCCGGCCGGTCGCGCGATCGGCCGCAGACACCACATGGAATCTTCGATCAGCTTGGGCGACGAGGCCGCGACCGCGACCACGACCACGACCACCCAACGGAACTACAACACGTTCACGAAGCGCGCCGCCAAGGAGGTGGCCGCCAAGATGGTCCGCTGCACGGAGACGGACGCCGCGAACGTCTCCGCAGAGTCCAGGAGCCTGGAGAACGGAACGACGGCGACGTCGACCACCGTGAGAAAGATTCAGCCCCACGGCGAAGAACAGCCGTCCGACTCGCCGACTTCTCGTTCGGACTTCCGACGGTCCGTCCAGTCGAGCGACCATCGCCAGAGGATTTACAGCAGCGAGCAGCATTCGAGGTCTGAAAACGTGGCGCATTCCCGCCGAACGACGGAGGACGGGTCGCTCGAGCAGCAGAGTCAGAGACAGTCGGAGAGACAGCAGGAGTCCGGCAGGAGGGACTACGTGAACGTCCAACACGCGGAGTCGAGGCAGTCGGCGGCCAGCCGGCAGAAGCAGCTCTACGAGCAGCACACCGTCTCCAGCCAGGCTCGCTACAACTCCAGCCAGAACAGCAGCGCCGAGTTCAGACAGGCGATCTCGGGCCAGTCGTCGGCGGCGGAGAGGTCGCAGCTCGAGCACGCGACCGTCGCGAAGACCAGCCATCACAGAAAGAACGTGATCTCCTGTTCGTCCGCCGACGTGACCAACTCGGTTCTGCATCGCCGCGGCGTCGCCACCTCCACGGAAGCTTTGCACACCATCTCCTCGACCGCCGCCGACCAGAAGAAGAGCATCTCGAACCTGGCGGAGAGCGGCCAGTACATCAGCAACTCGAGCCAGAGCAGCGACAGGAAGAGCCTGACGTCGCTGCACAGAAGCGCCAAGGACGGGAACCCCTGGGCCTCCTCCACGTACGAGAGACCCCAGAGAATCGTGCGGCAGGACAACCTGACGGTGGGCGGTGGCAAGTTCTACTCGCACAGCGAGGCCAAGAGCTACGGGAACTTTAGCAGCCAGAAGGTCGAGCGGGTCCACAGGCAGGCGAACGTGTCCCACATCAGTCTGGGGGACGGCTCCGCCGTCGCCTCGAGCATGTACAGGCGGGAGTACGCGCCGAAGCACGCAGGACCCTGTCCCGCCGCCCTGATCGAGGCCAAGCAGGCGCCGTTCAAGCACACCAGGGACACGCGGAAACACAAGTTCTACATGCCGGTCGTCTCCAACTGAACGGCTCGCGAGCGCGCGCGCGCCTCTTCGGTACGGTGGTGGGTCGGGTCGCGCAGGCTCCGGGAACCTCCCGTTTTTCCTTTCCTTTCGCTCCGTTTAGCTTAGTTTAGTTTTTAGTTCGGCTTACTTTAAGTTTCGTTTCGATTTTCCATCGAGCCTACTTTCGGAGAATAATTTATTTTACTTTCTCGCGATCCTCCGCGTGCCACACCACGATCCAAGATCGCTCCCCGAGGGAGGAACCGCGGGGCGCGAGCCGATCTTTCGAACGTTCGCGCTTCGCCCGCTTTGTATCCGTACAAAGGATTCGGGTCTCTCGAGCCGCGAGAGACTCGGCCTGGCCGATGGGAAATTTCTCTTCGCGCTCCGCGGGAAGGATTCCTCCTCCGAGGAAGGACGCGGTCGGACCGCGCGGATCGACAAAATTCAGTTTTCGTTAGCGTTTTCGTTTCGTTTCGTTTCGTTTCGTTTCGTTTCGGAAAGTCGATCGCGCCTCGTTCGAAAATCCACGGTCCGCGCAGGACGCTTCCCTCGACTGCGAATCGTCGCGCGCGTCCAATCCTTTCGATGAAATCGCACCTGCTTTATCCGGCCGACTCGCGATCGCGGATTCGACGGCCACCGTCGTCGCGTCGATTCGAAGCGAGACGAACGTCGGACCGCGAGAGCGCGACGATCCGACTCGTTTAGGATTTCGTTGATCGCCTTAAGCCACGTGTATTACGAAGCAATAACTAGAGCTTAAATCCGTGATATGGACGGGCCCGGTCCGCCGCCGGCTCGGGCCCCCGTTCTCATACTTACGATTAGAGTAGTCGTAGGCGTTCCCCGTCCGCTTCGATTTTATATTCGATCTTATTCCACGTTGCCGATATATTCGCGTCGCGTCGATCCCCGCCACGCTCCCCTAACCCCGCGGGTTTCGTATTAACCTACCTTCTATATACAAATATATAGAATATGTTCGGCGAACGCCGCGCGCGCGCGCAAACACACACACACACACACACACACAGCAATTATTATTTTTCTCGTTTCCTCTATATTTTGTTTCTCCGATTTACTTACCAGATTTATACTCGTACGTTTCTCGATCGAATAAAGATGTTTCGCAATCGATTCGTTGGCTCTCCATTATTCCTTTTCAGGATCGCGGATCGCATTTTTCGAGGGTCCCCGCGCGTGGCGTACATTTTTATAAACGAGCGTCGCGCGCGCCGGTACAGCGTTTTCGCAAACGGATTCGCGATCGTCCCTTCGTCGTAGGATAGTCGCGACCAGGAGCTGTTCGCGGACGGCGCGAACAACCGGAGCTCCGTGGGCCGCGAACGAACGATTTTTTTCCGCTTTCGTTACCGACCATCGCTCGTATATGTATGCCGGATTTACGTATTACCGAGCGACGGGGAATCCAACTTTGCGTTTACGAGAAACAACGATACCAGCGAGACGCGCGCTACTCGATCGTCGATGCGCGTCCGCGTAGATATCGGTGGCTTCCGTTTCCCATTTCCTCGTTCGAAGGTGGACACGAATTTCTACGATTATTTTCGATCGCGACGGGTCACCGACGCGTCCGAAATGCGTCCGCGTCGAAAACTCGTCGCGTACGTATAATATGTATGCGCGCGTGTACGGAGCACCGTCGCGCGACGATAAAGAGATTATTTCGCGTAACGCGGTTTACTCTCCTCGCCGAGTCCAAAATCCACGATTCGCGGGTTTCCGATCGTTTTCAATCGGCGATCGGAGCTGCGGTATTCGGACGAGCGGTAAGTACGCGCGCGCGCGACGACGCCACAGCCGTGCGAAANGCGCGACGATCCGACTCGTTTAGGATTTCGTTGATCGCCTTAAGCCACGTGTATTACGAAGCAATAACTAGAGCTTAAATCCGTGATATGGACGGGCCCGGTCCGCCGCCGGCTCGGGCCCCCGTTCTCATACTTACGATTAGAGTAGTCGTAGGCGTTCCCCGTCCGCTTCGATTTTATATTCGATCTTATTCCACGTTGCCGATATATTCGCGTCGCGTCGATCCCCGCCACGCTCCCCTAACCCCGCGGGTTTCGTATTAACCTACCTTCTATATACAAATATATAGAATATGTTCGGCGAACGCCGCGCGCGCGCGCAAACACACACACACACACACACACACAGCAATTATTATTTTTCTCGTTTCCTCTATATTTTGTTTCTCCGATTTACTTACCAGATTTATACTCGTACGTTTCTCGATCGAATAAAGATGTTTCGCAATCGATTCGTTGGCTCTCCATTATTCCTTTTCAGGATCGCGGATCGCATTTTTCGAGGGTCCCCGCGCGTGGCGTACATTTTTATAAACGAGCGTCGCGCGCGCCGGTACAGCGTTTTCGCAAACGGATTCGCGATCGTCCCTTCGTCGTAGGATAGTCGCGACCAGGAGCTGTTCGCGGACGGCGCGAACAACCGGAGCTCCGTGGGCCGCGAACGAACGATTTTTTTCCGCTTTCGTTACCGACCATCGCTCGTATATGTATGCCGGATTTACGTATTACCGAGCGACGGGGAATCCAACTTTGCGTTTACGAGAAACAACGATACCAGCGAGACGCGCGCTACTCGATCGTCGATGCGCGTCCGCGTAGATATCGGTGGCTTCCGTTTCCCATTTCCTCGTTCGAAGGTGGACACGAATTTCTACGATTATTTTCGATCGCGACGGGTCACCGACGCGTCCGAAATGCGTCCGCGTCGAAAACTCGTCGCGTACGTATAATATGTATGCGCGCGTGTACGGAGCACCGTCGCGCGACGATAAAGAGATTATTTCGCGTAACGCGGTTTACTCTCCTCGCCGAGTCCAAAATCCACGATTCGCGGGTTTCCGATCGTTTTCAATCGGCGATCGGAGCTGCGGTATTCGGACGAGCGGTAAGTACGCGCGCGCGCGACGACGCCACAGCCGTGCGAAAATCGCGTACGAAATAATCGTCGATCGGAACAAAAGCGTTCTTCTCGATCGACCACGGCTCGTCGCTGCCCAATTCACGCGGCACCGTTGACAGGCCGACACACGCACGCGTTTCCCTTGAAAAAGCCCAAACGAATATGAGAGCGAGTTCGCAAGATCGTTCACAGGAGCCGAATCTTCCGCGCTACGATGACCCGTCGACGAGATCATGAACGAACGACTCCGGTACAAACGAGCGCTCGTTCTCGTCCTCGCGGTCGTTCTTCGCTCGTCCTTGCCCTGCCGCAGCTTCGAAATTTTCGTCGACGCCCCTAGGTACTCGTTTTTTCCTCCTTTAGCCTCTTTCGTTTCCTCAAAAGTTGCGTCGCGACGACCGACGTCTCGACGATTACGATCGAACGGAAGTTGCTCGCGACGCCAAAGTCTTCGACCGTTTTGCCGGATCCGCGATCCGAGACCGAGGTCTTCCGCTGCGCACGGATCAGGATCGTTCCGTTTCCTTTCAGCGCTCCGGAGATCGATTTCGCGGAGGAGCAACGCGACGTCGCGGACTCTGCGATCGAGCGGATCTTCCAGAGCCCGAAGAACGGGAGGAACGCCGTGAGCGGGTCGAAGCACGAGATCGGAGCGGAGACGGCCAACAAGGTGGTCTCGCGACGATCGCCGGCGGGCGAGAACCTCGTTCGAGCGAAACGCGAGGGCGCGAGGACAGGGGGGGAACGGAAGGGCCCGAAGGAGGCCGCGAAGGCCGCGGAGAAGCGCTCGGTGGCCGGCCGATCCTCGCCGCGAGCCGTCCGAACGGCCCGAGTCGACCGATCCTCCCGGGACTACGAGGCCGGCCTCGACGACGGGTCGGACTACGCGGAGGAATTCGCGGACGACTCCGCCGCGGGATCGGACTACAAGAACGACGACTCGAAGCTGGCCGAGGACGGGTTCATCGATCGGGACGAGAGGTCGATCCTGTACGACGATCCGGAGGAGAAGGACGTGGCGAAGAGAGGCGTCGCCGGAGCCGAGGACTACGAGGAGCTGAACGATCGAGTCGACGAACCGGAGGATGGCCCGGAGGATAGGGGTTCCTCGGAAGAAGCTGCGGAGAAGGGGAGAGCTCGCGGCGACGCCGGACTCGAGAGGGAGCACGCCTCGAAGAAGAGGGAAGTTGCCGCGGCACCCTCGGGCTCGGATCCGGGCACGGCCTCGAAGAAAGAGAGCGCGGTGGCCGAGGACTCGGCTGGCAAAAAGGATTCCCGGCTGGCCGAGGATCGGCCGGTCGACGCGGAGAAGGAGGTAAAACTGGGCGAAGACCGGACCAAGCCGGACCGGGCGACGACCGGCGACGAGGCGGACCAGTCGAAGCGGAACGTCGTCGTCGACGAGTACAAGCCGATTCCCGACGCCGACGGTTCCAAGCTGGCTCTCCCGGCGAACGATCGGGCGCGGCTGGCGACGGAGGAGGCGAAAGCGCAGGATTCGAGCCCGTCGTGCGACAAGAAGGCGGCCGCCGCCGACGACGAGCCGCCGGATCCGAGCGGAGCCTCGAAGCTCGAAGAAGCGAAGGTGGCCGAGGAGTTGGCACCGACCGCGGCCGCGGCCGCGGTCGCGGTCGCGGCCAACGCCGAGACGAGTCCCGGCAATCCCGAGAACTCGATCAACCCCGACGGTCCGACGGCGGAACGATCGGCGGAACGGTCCGACAGGGACTACGAGAAGCGAGTCGAGGAACAGATCCAACGCAAGATCGACTCGATCAAGGAGGAGATCAAGCGCGAGATCGCCGAGAGCGAGAAGCTCGAGGAGATAGAGAGCAACAACGCCAAGTTCGACGAGCTTCTCGACCAACGAGAGGACGAGCTGGACGCCGAGCAGGAGCAGCCGGCCGCCGCCGCCGAGGCAGGGACCGCGGAGAAGAGGGCGAATCCTTCGAAAAGGTCTGCCGCGACCTTGGACGGATCCCGGAAGGGAGCCAACGGCGACGAGCGATCGACGAAACGACGAAAGAGGCAGGACGCGGCTAGATCGGAGAACGTCGGAAGCTCCGCCGGCTCGAGCTCGAAGCTGGCGAAGAAGTCGACCGGCGAGGGAGCGAGCGGGAAACGATTCGTCGCTCCGAGCCTCTCGGCTCGAGGTACGGACGCGATGGCGCCGAGAAAGCGCGACGCGCCGCGCGAAGCGTACCTCGTCGAGAGAGATCGAAGCAAGAGAAAGAGAAGAAGACGATCGAAAGAGTACGAACGGGGAAGCTCGCGGGAAGCCCTCAAGGTAGAGGACCGAATCGCTGTTTAGCGCGTAAGTCCGGCGGCAGGACAAGGTTGTGTGTATCGAAAAA